CCTCTCAGAGAAGATTGTAATGTATCCGGTTACACTCTCGCTGAATAGCAAGCCGCCGAGTCGGCGTGAAACTCAACGAAAAAAAATTTTTGGAGGAGGAAACTTTGTTGTTGTTGCGGTAATAAATTGTTAATTAATCTATAAAATTTTAGGCATTAATGGATTAAACAAACTTTTTGCTAAATAGATCTCTACGAAGGCATATCACATTGTCGAGACCATCCGCGTTGTCGCCGTCGCCTCTCAAGTTTCGTGTCTTCGTCCCCTAAAATCGGACTTGTATATGGATGCAGGACGAGTTCGCGGCCACGTGAAACTCACCGGCGATGAGATAATGAGTCAAAGACCATCAGAGTGCATGGTACACGCGAAGCTCTTCGTCCAGACACAGAGTTAAAGGATCTAGCGGTCGTTTTTGTATATAGCGAAAAATGTTACGCAGAGATTGTAAAATGGGTTTCCATGGCCTAGCCTCATGTCCCCGTCCGCGGCTGAACTTTAGCGCAGAGTTGTTGAGTATCACACACGAATACATATATACATACACACACATACAAAATAAATACAGATACATAACATTTTATTACATTTACCGATTGTTAGCTTAGTATATTTATTAACCATTAGATGCATCCACATTGAGCACTGTTGAGCAAACCGATAATCGCGTTGTACGTAGCGTACTCCTTCGAGAATTTGCGAGACACAAGTGCATTAGATGCAAAATTGATAGATTAGCCGCTTTTCGTAAAGGCAGGTCGGAATAAATTCAGCCGGAAGCATCTGTGTTTGTTAGATGTTTTGTATAAAACAAGAGAATTGAGCCAATAAAAATATTCTACAAAATACTAATCGCATTCTTCTATTTGTTCCAGAGATAATGTATGTATGTATGTACTAAAATAAAAGTAACAGCACACAATGTATATTTCCCATACAGTACAGAATTTGCAGCAATATCGCTGCAAAATCTACGATATTGCTGCAACATGCGATGTTGCAGCAGTGTTGCTACAACTTTTGTGCAACTTTGTGCTGTAGGGACTTCGTCTGATAATTATATAATGGTAATTGAAAATTATTCAAACAATCTTATCAAAAGAAAAAAAATTATACAAAAATTAGTTCTGTTGAAATTAAAGAACTGACCTATAATTAATTCCATTTTCAATCCGTCCGGATGCATCCAGATGTTTTATTCTTGTTGTTCACGAATGTTAAACAAGTGGTTTGTTTTTGTTCCTGCAATAGACTGCATTAGAACTCCCTTTCTCGCTTTCGACATTTCAATATCAAACATATACTTTTCTCACTTCAAGTTCCAAAAATGTACACAGTTCGGCCATAGAAAACAGACTATAGATAAAGCAACGTCTGGGTGCACCCAGACATCGACGAGATATTATTAAAGACCGACATCCTTATGGGAGTTCGCGTCCTTGTTAATATTGAAGTGATTAAGAGTAAAAAAACTGATAATATTGTACTAATTTTATGATTTATTAGTTTAGTAGACGTGTTTTTCGGTGTACGTGCATTTAAAACTCAATAATACTCGATTTTCTTTAAAATTGTGATTTCAGTGTTATCGTCAAAGTTCGATTATCAACAGAGATAATAACTGCAGAGAAAAAAATTGTAATTTTTCGGCAATATATAGGATATTATAGCTTTACAAATATGCATATTTATTTATAGAGCAGTTATGTAATAAAATATCATGAATTTAATAATGTATCAGTCAAATATTTATATTAATAATAGTAAATTTATATCAATTGTCGATAATGTCAGCGTTCTTCGATTACTTCCGGGCTCTTGGAGCCCTTTTTATACCGCCGAAAATTTACCCAGGGTCGACGGTCTTTAATAGTATCTCGTCGATGACCCAAATGATGATTCTAAACGCAGCCCAGCTTTGCAACTATATTGTAAAATTCTGTAGTACGGTTGGTTTATACATTTATTTAGATCCAGTGAGGAATTAAGGACAAGATCAATCGTATTAAAGAATTTTACAACAGTGCAAAGCTGCTTTATCTGCTGAACGCAGCCATTTAAACTGAGGGTTTTAATGGCAACTGGCGCATGCGCCTATATAATCTGCGATGTAGCATTTAGCAGCAAGTTCGTGACGTGAGGTCAAAAATGTTTCGTTCTGTTACACGTGAGTTATTTTATCAGGAATTATATCAATTGCATTAAACGACTGTCCCAATGCTCAATCCTGACATACTTTATTCATAATGTGCAAATAATCCTATATTCAAATAAAATTCCGCGTACATCTGAACCGCGGATACGATCGATACCGTTTCGAAGCAAACTTCAGTTTTTGCTCGCTTTTTGCTTTAACGTTGCGCTATTGCATAAGATTGTATTGCATTCTGATATACATCACAAAACTCGATGCGCATTTATTTATTTGCATAGTTATATAGTTTATCGAAACGTTCGACCGATTAGAACACCGATTATAACCTTCTAAATGCAATTAAGATAATATAGATAATATTTATTAAAAATTTAATTATATTTAATTATTTGTATCAATTATTTAATGTTTTATTAATTTTTTTCTTTTATAGATAACGTCCCTCAGGGACTGGTGTCCCTGGTGCGTAACAATGTAGCAGCATCAGGACCTGCTACTGCTGCTACATTAAAGATTCAGACTAAAGACATGGCTACGGAGTCATCAGTGCAAGAAGCAAAGACTCAGTTGCCAGAGAAATCGAAAGTCGAGCCATACAGTCCTTTTCAAGGTCCCAGTAACATGGCAGAGTATGCCTTGGCCAGACTGGATGACTTACTTAATTGGGGACGTAAAGGATCGATATGGCCAATGACTTTTGGTTTAGCCTGCTGTGCCGTGGAGATGATGCACATCGCTGCGCCTAGATACGACATGGACAGATTTGGCGTAGTATTCCGCGCCTCACCACGACAGTCAGATGTTATCATAGTCGCTGGCACTTTGACAAATAAAATGGCACCTGCCTTGAGAAAAATCTATGATCAGATGCCTGAGCCCCGATGGGTCATCTCCATGGGAAGTTGCGCGAATGGAGGTGGATATTATCATTACAGCTACTCAGTGGTTAGGGGTTGCGACAGGATAATACCTGTGGACATTTACGTACCTGGTAAATTTGCAGTTATATTTGTATTCTTATTTAAAAAAGTATGTATATATATATATATATAATACATATTTATATAATATAAATCTTCATCGCAGGTTGTCCCCCAACAGCTGAAGCACTATTGTATGGTGTTCTTCAATTGCAGAAAAAGATTAAACGTATGCAAACCACACAAGTTTGGTACAGGAAGTAATGTACCTGACATTATAGTAAAAAAATGTATAAATTATTTAAAAATTGTAAGATAATTGATAATTAAACAATAGAGGAGTTGTATATCGTTTAAAAATGTCGCAATAAATCACATTTCAATAAAAATAATTTTTTTTTATTACCATACATCAGTCTTGTTTACTTTATATGTATATTTATTTAAAAAAGAAAAAGCTGAAACTAATTTATTTGCATCATTATGTTATCGCTGTAATGAATTAAATATCACAGTTGATCGTATATATATAAAATTGATTAAAAATGTATTCTAAAATATTTTATGAAAGTTTGAAGATATATAAAAGATGTTTAATACTTTTATTTTTATTAAACATATACAATCGTGAATATATATACATGCACTTTATTGCATATAATTGTGTCACAATGATAAAGAAAACAATCTCAATCTTTAAAAATATATATTATAAAAAAAGATATGCAATTAAACGTGGATGCAATATTGTGTGAAAACTTTTATTAATAAGATTCTTATCGTTTAACTTTTATTAATTTCTTGTCAATAATTGTCCCCTTTTTTTTTCTCTATTACCAATTTATCCTCTCTTAAAATTACCTTTCTAAAAGATAAATATCAGAATAATCGTAAAATCGTATTAGATCAATAGTCTGTGCAGTAATATATATATTAGATATAGTAATACATATATATCTATAATATATATATTAGATATAGTAATATATATATCTATAAGATATCAATATCATATTTCTATATTCATATATATACACAAAACACATACTAGAGTAAATGAAACTCGTACTTTTATGTTGAGAAAAGAATTAAATATTTGTATAAACCTGTGTTTTATTACTATTATTCACTATTCTATTATTTACTTATATTTTCTTACTTCTAAAAATATACAAAATGTAGAAAATATGTTTAGAATAATTTAAACAAAATAAAGAATTTTACACAAGTTTTTTGCTGTTTAAGTTACCACATTCTAAGGCCCCTTTCTTTGTTTATTTGTTACTGTAACTAATATTAATATATAACAATTACATTTTTTTATTATATACTCATACAATACATACATATATCATCTTAATAAAAATACATGTATATATATATACCGAAATCTTGTACATATAATAGGTAAAGAATTTGTCTCTTTTTAACCGACTTGCAAAGTTTCATACCTATCATTTTTTTATTACATATACCACTTAATGAACATGTGTATCTGTTGCGCCACAGCCAAATTATTAATGTTTACTTTAGTCATAAAAAAATATTTAAAAAACTAGTAAATCATTTCGATAAATCATTGAATATACTGATAATGTATCGAACCAGATTGAAAGTTAGTTATTTCAATTTCATTATTCTTATTATAATCCACAGTATATATACAAAATTTTTAATATCTAAATTTTGATATTTGTTCCCCATCTTCTTTACTTACACAGTTATATTTTGAAGATCAATTGTTTTTCCAAACAAGCTTTTGTCATTGGAGAGATTGTATAATAATATTGCAATTACAAATTTAAATTAAAATATCTTAATATAAATAATTGGTTAAAAAAAAATTTCTGAAGCTATTTTTAATCCACTTAAGAAAAGTAAACTCAACAAAATTTTCCAACAAAAATAAAAATCTTTATTCTGAATTCCATCTATTTCCTATATATGCAATATAAACCTTGTTTAAACGCATTGTGCGTCAGAACGGTTCATACAATTCTAAAAAACGCATATAATATCTGTTCTGCATTATAATGATAAGTATCTAGATTTTCTGTCATAAAAAAACCGATTTAATGCAATAAACAAATAAACAAAATATCAATGATCTAAATATGTAGTCAGTCCCTGCCGTGTACAATTTCAATGATTCAAACAATATTGCAAACTGCTATTAAGCTCTCTGCTATTAACTAGTCATACTCTTATATATCTCACGTATTAAAAAAGTTTGGATATATCAAATATCCATTAATCTTATTTTTCGCCTTGTTTGGAATAAAATCCAATTTTCTGAAATGTTATTATAATTCTTTTAATATTTAAAATGAATGTGTGAGGCTAAACTCAATTTCATTTTACAACTCAATAGATAATTAGTACAAATATACATGGTTTCAGACAATGCTGAACAATTTAAGTAAAGTGGACACACCTAAATATATTTTACACCATTAGAGAATTGCTTGCGATGTAGATGGTGGTGGATTAGCTGGCAATGCAGGAACCGGGCCATCTATCCAATGAATGAGCGAGTGCTCACTTATTTGAGTACTCTGAAAATGGTCCTTCAAGAGGGTTTGAGAGAATGTACAATGCATTTGATACGCCTCGGCTTCATGAGTAGGGTCACCACAAAGCCTATATAAATCTGTAATATTTCAATTATACGGTTTACAGCTAATCAAAAAATTACTACTTACTTTTCAATGTATCTGCATATACCTTTTAAAATGGCAGTAGCCCACAGTTGTACATGTACATCAGGTATTTTAGAAGCTAATTGCATCGCAGGTGTGACCATATTCATTGATTCTCTACTATTTCCTAACGAAAGAAATATATGTCCCAAAAGCACAAGACTACAAGAAGTGAGTCTGTTCAAGTCTTCCGAATTTGCCATTTTTAAGGTTTCTCTAAGATATCGTCTGAAAATATTGGCACATTTATACATCGATATATTCAAATTGTTTCTATACTGAAATTTTTTAACGTCGCTAACTGAGAATCAAAGTATTATCTTTTTCTCTTCTTATTTTTCGGGAAATTAAACTTACAAGTTTCATTCCCATTTAGAATATTTATTAGGCCATGTGAAAACAAGTATTTAAAAAAAATCTTACTTTGCCTCATTGTATCTAGCACCAAAGAAAGCTTGAAGTCCTTGTACGTAATATGCAGCTGCCCTCAAAGAATGAGAATGCGATGGTAAAGATTCTGGATTTATCCTTTCTAATAATACCCCCAGCTCGGCTTCTTTCTTTGATCTAAGATATACTATCGCCAGGTTCAAATTTGCGAATGTCCAGAGTTCTCTCTCTTGTGACGTCTGAAAAAGGTAAAATAAATCTTTATTTTTAATGTCTGTTATTGTTAGAAATTCCTCATAGATTTAACATTATATTTGTATGTAAAATTCAGCTAAAAAGAAGATAAATGTTCGAAAAAGTGTACACAACTAATAGATTAGATATAATAACATGTATAAAAAATTTCTTAAATTATTTATTATAATTATATTTATTATAATTTATAATAAAACGATTTTATTTCCTTACTCTGAGTGCAGCAGTGAACTGAGCCTCTGCAGCTTCCATACAATTCATAGACATTGCGTATAAACCTAGTAATACATGTAGTTGTGGTCTATGACCTTGAAGTAACCTAGGCTGCCGTCTACAGAGTTGGCAAGCTTGAGAAATTTCCGTAAGAGCTACACTCTTGTTTCCCATTACAAGCCGGCACATGATTATATGCTCCAAGAGCATTAATTGAAACACAGACAAGATAGGTTTATTATCGATAACTGTAAAGAAAACAATAAAGACTTTGATTTTGCAAAATATCAATGAAAAATGTAAAAAAAATAGTGTATTATGCAGGATGACGCATAACTCCGTGAGAGAACGGTCGATTCAGACTTTCATCCTGTTTATTCGAGATTGATTGGAGAATTTGTGAATAAAGAAACAAGAGAATTGTAACTTTGAAAAACAATAAACTACTTTGAGCGCGAGCGTGGCATGACAGACAGCGCACTGGTTCTATCATGTCAGAGATCCCGGGTTCGATCCCAGTAGGAATCAAAATATTTACGCTCGTGTCTCCTCTCGGAAAAGGCCGGCAACCTCCCGAGAGTATCCTTGCCCACAGAAACACCTCTCAAAAAATCCGCTGTTCGGAACCGGCATTAAAACTGTAGGTCCCATATGCTCGTGATAATTGAATAATCAGCGTGCGCATCACAAGCATATGAGAGAGGTGTAACACATGCCAGAAGTCTAACATAAGAATAAACTACTTTAATTAATTAAAAAAATAATACGCATACTTACTTTTCAGTTTTTCAATTTGACTAAGCGCTTTGTCTGTATATTTCTGCGCTTTATCCATGTATCCGGCTTGCATAGAATGCATAACGGTTACTAAATAGACCAAGACGTATAGGTGGTCTTTCGGCATCCATATAAACATGTCTCCAATATTAGAGCCTGTGACTACCACATCATCTGTTGGCCAGCTAGGTGACATTATAGTCTGTATACTTTGTTGCAATGATTTCAAACAGGGTTTCACGCTCTTTACCTATTTTAATAGTATAAAAAGATAATGTTACCATTATAGAATGGCATATCCATACAATATTTTTTTTATAAATTATAATACTTATGATTATTCTCACCTGGCCAGCCATAAGATAATGACATACTTGAAGAACTAAAAAGTATACTTTCAGATATTCCTTTTGATACGAGTTGCCTTGCCAATTTTCTATATGATGGTTCGCTGAATTTAGAAGAGGATGAACCTCAGTGAACTTCTTATCTATTAATAATAGCATACATCGGCTTAAAAGAAAGAGAACTCTGGTATAACCAGCGTTACTTATGTGGGAATAATCAACGCCTACTGCAAGTAAGCTACTTGCTGCGACAAAGTCTTTCTCTGAGGCATGAATTTGCTGCAATCCACAAATCATCACACACACATATGAATACATTATTTCTTCAAAACATAAAGAATTAGTCAATAAATAAAAGAAGGGCAACGAGCTAATTATACTGTAAGATATTTAATAATCGTACATATACAAACGTTTCGACACCGATCGGGTCATTTTCAATGTAAAACAACAAAACATAGCGTCTAACTTACATCATTAAGACAATTTAAGAATTAGTGAGATGAGATCATCTTTAAGATATTTTAAATATGGACCGCATACTGGACATTATAATGTGACCGAAAATTTCCGATAATTTATGTAATAATGTTTCGTTGTTTTACATTGAAAATGACCCGATCGGTGTCGAAACGTTTGTATATGTACGTTATTAAATATCTTACAGTATAATTGGCTCGTTGCCCTTCTTTTATTTATTGATTTATTCTAATTGAGCCACATTAACGATTATTATTATAAAAAATTAGATACATTTGAGTGAAAAAAATACCATATTTGGTCATGGTAGTTCTTTGTGCCGACTAATATTTCTTGTGAATTTACATAATTTATATAATTAAGATACAATAAAAAATTAAGCTTGTTAAGCTTACCGCAAGCTGAAAGATAAGTCTGCAATGCCAGTAGACATTGTGCTGAGACAATTCTATTGCCTTCCTCAAAATTGGTTTACTCAAGTTTGGTTGCAGCTGCTGTTGTTGTTGCTCATACAGGTCCGCGACAATGCTGGCTGCTTCAAATTTCACATCGTCGAATGTATTTATATTCTGACTTAACCGCCACTAAAGAGAATAACCAAGGATCATTATAAATTTCATCAACACTCCGATCAGTATTAATTTGAATCATGATTAACATGACATTCAAAATTTACATCAGATTATGCAATTCGTGGTTCAAACGTTAGAAATTCGAAAATTAGCTCATTCATAAATTTATAAATAGAATGATTAGAAATATTTGTTTTTTGTTAGTTTATATCTATATAAATAAATAAATTTAAACACTCCATATGTGTTCTTTTTTCCTAACACGACACTCGTCCTACTTTCTACGAAGACAGCGTATCAAAAAATAACTTTGACTGCGCGCAACTGTGATTGCAAGACGTTCTTCGTGACATATGTTAATGTACCAAATTTCATCAGTTTATTATTGATAGTAACAAAAATGTAGCGAATTTCGTGCCTGAAAGGGTTACTCCTCTTCACCACAATATCTCTAAAACAGTTGAGATCGAGAATCTTTTCCGAAGCATGGATACTTTACTGATAAAGGCGAAATAAAAATCGGAGTTTCATCCCGAAATCAGAGTGACACTCGAAGAAGTTCGCTGCAGCTATTTGTTGCCATTACACGCGGAGAGGTTAGGACGAACAAAAACGCAGACGCGTGTAAATAGTGGGTGAGGGAGAGGGACGAGGTGAGGAAAAAAGGGACGATGAAGTTGCTCGATCTCGATGTGACAGATAAGAAAGAGGTAAAAGACTGACCGCTTGATCTAGATGGTATCGCGCCAAATCGATGTTTTTCGTGTGCGTAAGCAGGATGTTGCCGAGCTGAAGATGAGTGCGCGCCTCAACGCGTTGCGGCGGCTTGAAATGGAAAACCGCTTGTAAACACTGGATGCACGATTTGATGTTGGGCGGGTTTGACGTACGGAAATTCTCGGCCAGACCGAGCAACGACAAATACCAAGCGTCCTGAGAAGACGCCATTTTAACATTTCACAATACAAACCTTTGACTATATACCTCTGGACTGATAGTTACCCCCACTTTTCCTACCTTTTCCATAAGATAGAAAGAGAGGACCGTGTATCCAAGATCTCAGAGCCATCAGGTCCGGAAGTTGGCCAAATCAAGAACTAACTAGCTGCATTTTAAGTAAGAATCGGTACGAATAACTCCGAATAAAAAATTGAAGTGATCCAGAAGTACTGCTAAATAAAAAAATGGTTCGTTCTTGTTTTGCTAAATTATGTAATAATACCAGATACAAAGCTGTAGGAGTAATTAAATGTGATGCGGGAAAAATACAGATTTAAAATCAATTCGAAAAAGGTACCAAATTTAATAATAAAATAAAGTACATATTACAGTACAATAAAATATACATGAAAAGAAACACGGTAGGACAAATCTAAATAAAATATATCTGAAGAAAATAATATATATAATTATAAGCTAATATATATGTATACTTTTTATTGCCCTTTAAATAAAATTATTTTAGTCAGATCTTTTCTGATATATGTTAATTGAATATTTTATAATAGTTTAAATAAAATATATAACCTCAACACGCGTCCCGATTGTATCGATTTTTACTCGAAATGCAGCTAGTTAGTTGATTTGGCCAACTTCCGGATCTGATGGCTCTGAGATCTTGGATTCCAGTAATGGCTGCCGTTAGCAGTCCAGAGGTATATAGTCAAAGATACAAACGAAGCTAAACGTATTCTATTACAGCCTGCAACGGCCTACCACCAGTGGGCACTGCAGACAGCGGTCAAGTCGATGCTAAGGACAGATGTATGTGTTGAGTGAGACAGAACGAGAGAGTAATGTAAGAAATAATAAATGAAAGATATCACTATTATCGACATTTCTAATTTGGAATTTTAAAAGTCTATGCTATTATATCGACATCGATCAAATTCGGCCGTTTTCAGCTTAATCCTAAATTGCACTAAATATTCCTGAAATATTCATAAAAGATTCCTAAAATCCCCAAAAAATATTCCAAGAGTATTCCGGAATATTTTCCGAAATATTTATGGAATGTGTAGAAGCAACATTCAAATATCGGTAAAAATTCCATTTACATATCGTTACATATTCCGAAAATGTTCCATATATGTTCCGCAAAATTTTAATTTTTCCAGAAATTCCAGGTCTGATCGTCCCTGAATCAGCTTTTAAACAAAAAGTTTGTTTTTTTATTGCTACACTCTGGCAATAAGTTGAAGTGAAACAACCCAGTAAACGAGGATGGATTGAAACGGATTCACTTCTTCAGAAAAATGCATTCGCGAAATTACAGTTAGTAATCGTTAAGTGAATCCTTTTCATTCCAAATTCATTTATTCTTTTATAAAATTATATACAATCATCAGGCAGTTCTAAAATACGTTATCATGAATTGAAAAACATAATTGTAATTATTTAATTCATTTTTTTTTAGTACTTCTTAATTCAAAATTTTGAATAGGAAATGCAGTTTTTCAATACTTGAATTTGATTGGATAGAAAAACTGCGCTTCCTATTTAAAATTTTGAATTGAGAAGTACTAAACGAGTTAAATAATTACAGTTATATTTTTCAACGATAACGTATTTTAGAACTGCCTGATGATTGTATATTTTATAAAAGAATAAGAATATGTTCAGATTGAAAAGGATTCACTTAACGTTCGCGAATGAATTTTTTTGAAGAACTGAATCCTTTCAATCCATTCTCATTCATTGGGAAACGTATAGCCCGTATTCGTAGTCAGGCCTTATGTTTAAGGCTTTCTTAAATTTATCTTCAGATGCTCTACGAATTATTTCATTGGCCACTGAGCATCTAAAGATAAATTTAAGGAAGCCTCAAGTATAAGGTCTGACTATTGCCCGTATTCATAGTAAGACCTTATACTTAAGGCTTCCTTAAATTTATCTTTAGATGCTCAGTGGCCAATGAAATAATTCGTAGAGCATCTGAAGATAAATTTAAGAAAGCCTTAAACATAAGGCCTGACTATGAATACGGGCCTATGAATACGAACAATATTTGTTTCACTTCAACTTATTGCACTGTATGTACTAGTTCAGAAAGTGCAGCAATAAAAAACGGACCTAAAATTGCTTTGAACACATTTCACACTTTTATCTGGGAATCCAATTTTAGGGTTGATGGGTTTATGGTTTCTGCACGCAACGCGGGGCAACGTTTGCCGAGTGGCGGGAATTAGCGCAGAAGTCAATCATTATTGCTTTTTCAGAAAAGTGAGAATGATTGGCTACTGCGCTCATGGTGGATGATGGTGGAATGTTATAGATGGTTATAGATCTATAATTTCACCATGTACTCATAGGCGCCGACTACGGGGGGGCAGACCACTTTTTGCCCCCCCAATAATTTTATTGGAGGGACAATGGCTCCTCAATAATTTTTACCTTTTGGTTTTTTAACAAACGGTGTTTTAACAATTGCAAATAATTTCTGCGATCAAAACTGTGAGAAAACATCGGCCACGTGACATATATTATACATAACGTTTACGCGGCGAATTAAAAATGGTGATACTCGCATTGGCACGTTATCTGCTGTCGTAGGACGACCTAGGGTATCTTCCAACAAGAGATGGTGTAATGACACAGTGTGACACAGCGTATCATTACATTCTTGTTGTTCGCCAATGTTAAACAAGGATGAAATGATTATTGTGTCGTACTGACTGTGAGTCGCTTGTTGAGGCGTGTTTTGATTCCCATTAAAGTGCTCCTCGGATGTCATTTCATCCTTGTTTAACGTTTGTTAAACAACAAGATAACACCCACTCGGGGAGCACCCAGGTGGGAATCTGAACATGCCCCTGGAAGGAACCTCTAGTGTACCTGCACATACACGTACCAGAGAGAAACCTGAGAGAGGACATGAGTGCCTTTTTCCTGTAACCGCAAAATACCTTGTGCACTACAGTCTTCTGAAGAAGTGGATATCAACTACACAACATTATTCATTCTTTTTTTGCGATGCTCTTGATGGAAATAAATCGTTAAAATTTTCACTAATTTGATAGATTTTAGTTATTTCAGCGATTTATTTCTATCAGTAGCACCGCGAAAAAGTGAATATTGTTGTGTTCCCCCCTAATATTTCTTGGTACCCCCCCCCCCACACTTTTCCCACACCTCCCCCCATACCGCGCTAACTTCCGCCACGCGGCAAGTATTAATGCGTTCCGTCCAGTTCATGTTTCATGTTCATGTTGTATCTAACTAGCTTCCATGCAAATATGTCTGTTATTCATTGTTAAGCAATATTCAAATCAAATCTTCGGCAAAAGGTTAATATAAGACGTGATTGAATCAGTCGCCAAGCCTCTTGGTTCATAAAACTCATTTTATACATTTTTCTCTCGTATAAAGACATATTCAAAGGTTCATATAATCATCAGTAAATGATGCGTACAGAAAATCGCACAATTTATTATTTCATAAGAATGAATTAAGAAAATAATTATATACGGGATTATAAGCATATTCGCAATCCGCCTACATAACGCGATCGAATAAAGCGTTCTTATTTTCATGGACTGAACAAATTGCACGTACAGCAATGCTTTTCCACGCGTCGATGTAGGATATCCCCACCAGGTATTCAACAAGCACCGAGTTCCCGCCAGGTGATCACCAGTCGCCTGTTTCGAATCGCGCGGGATCGAACGCGCGAGAGCTCGTTGATTTCTATCTCTTTCTTTCTTTTTTTTTCCATTTCACGCGATGTCCCACGGCCGACGCGTGTTTGCGTTCCTCTTCGGTTTGTTGGCGTTCCTTCCGCCACGCGAAACTCACTGTGCCACGAACGTCACCGACATCGCGGAGCAGGTCCAGGCGGAGAACGCCCTGGCGAAACTGGTGAAGATGTTCTCCAAACCGGGCGCGTTCAAGCGGGTAAGCCGGGGAATGTCGAACGGTGTTCCGGTTCCTAAAGTTATCCCAAAATTATTATTATTATTTAAAATTAATATTATTAAATCATTAAATTATTATTTTTAGATTATTGTTATCTTTTTAATTATCCGAGATTGTCCTGTGCTAACTCTCACTTAAAAATATCCTAATCTTTCAACGAAATCTTTAGCTTTAAAATCTTGAGCATTAAGAACCTTGTAACAAAATCATTGTGAGCCAAAATGCATATATCTGTCAGTTTCGGCAAAGTTCGATTCAGCTGGAATTTTATAAGATAGAATCACGAGCGCCATTTGTGTCGCGCGAGAATCGAAAATGGAAAAATCGGTACCTTGATGAAAAGGCCGTCCGGTTTTTGCGGATCCCTCCCGCAAGTCGGATTTATAATTCCGAACAAATCGTCTCGCTCGTGATGCAACCGTCGCACGAGAAATAAACGCGCGCGGCATACGAGGAGAAATAATCACCGGTGTGTCCTATTAATGTCCAGTTCCACAACTCACGGTTAACTCTCAACCGAGATTGAACTTGTTTCTCATCTCTTTCCAATTCTAAAATTGGAACGAGACAATGAATAAGTTGAACCTCGGTTAAGAGTTAACCGTGAGTTGCGGAACTGAGCCTACGTGATCGTTTGTAATAACAAACGTTCCAATGTAGATTAACTTAAATCTCGGTTCAACTTACGCTTCATCTTTTTCTAATTCTAATGCCCGTTTCTACCAATGTAGTTTAATTTTAATCTTGGTTCAACTAATTCTTGATCTTTTTCTAGTTCTAAGAATTAGAAAAAGATGAAAAAGAAATTGAACAGACAATGAGATTAAAGTTATGGGCTTTCCACAATAAGCCATTACCTAAGTTTTAAGTCTTAGGCCCAGTTCCACAACTCACAGTTAACTCTTAACCGAGGTTCAACTTATTCATTGTCTCTTTCCAATTCTAGAATTGGAAAAAATGAGAAACAAGTTGAACTTCGGTTAAGAGTTAACCGTGAGTTGTGGAACTGGGCCTTAAGCCATAAGAATTATTGACCAATCAGACGATATT